TGGAGCGACGTGCTGGCTGGCAGGTGAGGGGCACAGCTCCGTAGCGGTGCTTCCCTCGCCTCGTGCCTCCAGCGACGTGCCCTGGGCGCCGCGCATCGCGCTCCTGGGCGCTGCGGCACGCTTTCGTGCTCTTCAGCCTTCAAGCGCGACGTTGTGACTGCGAGGCGCGCATGGGACTCCGTGTTGTTGCTTGTGATGTTACAGCCCTTCTGTGTTTTGCTGCTGGCTGCGAGAATACGTTGGTCACAGGGGACGTGTATTACCTTCATTTTTTCCTAAACCCTGCAGGTCACTCTCAGCGCTGCTGTGTGCCCCACGTTCTCCAAAGGGAATAATACAGGGCACAAGCAGCGCCTGGGCCGTCTCATCCGCCTCAACCTCTTGTGGTGAAGCGTAGAACTAAAACTTACACCTAGAGGTGTAACGGGTTTGTTGCTGGACAGCCTCATGACCTTTGGAGGACTATTCAAAGCCTGTAGAGGTGTTCTGATGAAGACTGTCTTTATGCTGCTTCAGTTAGAGGACAAAAATGTATGCTACACATACGAGTCATGCAGTTTTGTTGTGCCACGTGCCATCCTAACTTGGCTGGCTAGTTGTTTTCTCTTTGCAGTTCCTACTATATCAAAATGGATTTCCTGAATAAAAATATGATTTCATAGTTTAGATTTATTTTTCAGCTCTATCAGGAGACAACAATATGTATCACTGTTAACTGATTTATGTGGGCCCATGGATAGGTTATTTTATAAAGGAGATTTGACTGGATGCCTGATGTATTAGTTTCTTCTTAACGTTTAGTTTCTTAATATATATAGAACTTTTTTTTGTTTGGCAGAATTATATTTTCTGGAGCTTTTTGTTTAAGAACACCAAACAAGTATGTATGAAGGACCCTCTTAGATTTTTCAGACCCTTCTGTTTTCGGTGAGTGCATGTGGGGTATGTCATGAGAGCAGTGACCAGTGGAGGGGAACTGAAGGAATAATGTTTTCCTATAAAGAAGTCTTTAAGTGTTATCTTTATCTTGTTAGTAGTATGAAAACATATATGTATATGCAAATCATAAACCTCTTCTCGATTCTAGCATCTGTCTTTTCCCTAGTGTCCGTTTTTCCATTTGTATTATTTTGTACTCTGAATACATCCTTCATTCTATTGTTCCTCAGAGTCCTTTTCCGGTATATAGAATGCTACATACCACGTTTTTGTACTTTGTGGAGACGAACAAATTTTGAGTGGCTATGTCCAGCCTCTCCAGGTACTGTTACAAATAGTCAGGATCTATAGAATCCTAAAGGAAGGAATCATCTATGTTGTGGTTACTTCTTTAAAGCTTTTTGAGCCCCCTAGAGTGATTGTTAACTATTCTTATCCGTGTAGTCTTATGAGAAATCGCATATGACATGAATATGTATTTTAGAGGCAAAGTGATGCTTTATTTGGACAGTGGAGTCCGAATATTTAGTGAAAGACTTCTTATTCTTGAACCTGTACTTTGATCTTTTAGTTTAGTGACAATCCATCTATGTTATTGTTTTAGAAGTGGGGGTAATGCTAAGAATATCAGTTCTAAACCATGCATTGGCACAAGTTATGTTCTTGTCTCTAACTTATATATAAAAACCACAGGGTTTTATGAGTGTGGAAAATTGCTGCCATCCGCAACTGAGCAAGACAGTCTCATATATAACCTTCTTGTAGATCTTAAACAGTCACAGAAGTATATTGCAAGTACGGTTGTTGCACAGACTTGTTTCCCTTGTAGTCAGTTGAATCATAACGAAGTAAATAATGCTACATGAAAGTGATGTGCTCTAGGATAACGTCCCCCCACAACCGCTCCTGCCCTTGCTGGTCATGAAGTTACCCAGTGAATATCCTTTCTTAAAATAAGCAATGCAACAATGCTGTGCAAATAAACTGTACTGTGAGCAATGGGTAATGGATATAATAATCCCTCTCTCAACTAGACAAGGGAATGTGTTCCACTTCCTTACACGTGCAGAGGGCTTTTATTGCAGGTGCAGTGGGGGCAGTGAAGCTGTTAATAGAAGGATGTGAAGTTTGCTGTGTAATGTTATTGTGGAGGGAACTTCTACTTCCCTGTTTATACAAAAAGGTCAAGTTTATGCAATCTGGCAGTATTCTAGTGCCTTTGGAGACCTTTTTTTGTCTGGCATAGACTTTGATTCCTTTTCTCATGAAAATATTATTTTTATCTTCCAGTAAAGCACAGTGAGTTGATGTCGATAAAGTTTTTCTTCCTCTCTTAAATTTTTTCATTTTCTTCCTTAAGTGGATGTAGAATTCATAGATTTTGCTTTTTGATGAAGTTAAGTTTAGCGTGACTTTAGAACTTCACTGTAATGCTTCATTTCTATTTTATCTATCTTTCTGAGCTGACACACCACAAACTTTTCCATAAAGTTGTGTTATATAATAGAAATCAAAGGCTTGTTATTCTTCTCCTCTCTTTTTCTGTAGGTGCCAACTTCTGATAATTCCAGTTTTGAAAGAGAAATGCTTCTGACATGCTTATAGATAGAACAAGGGTGGTACAAGTTTTTTAATAAACCAGGAGTCTACTTCTAGCGTGACTGTCTCTATGACCTAATGCGTAATTGAACAGAGGCCCATTCATCTCTTGACCTCTTGTTTGGAGTGTCAATGTAGTACTTGTTTTTGCAAGAGGGTACTTGTTTGCAAGAAACTAGCCTACCTTGTGTTTTGTTGCCTCGTTACTGGTAGGAGGTTAAATCTCTAATCCAGTTTCAGAATGGTTCTTCAAATGTTAATCTGTTATTTTGAGGACCTCTTGTCTGGAGGAGTTACTGAAAAAAACCCAAACGCTTTCAGAATTGAAGTCATCTTAAAATTCAGAATCAACAGATACACTGGGCTCTCAAACTCCATGTTTAATAAGAGACTGGAGACATAACAGAACCATGATTTTGCTCCAAGTGAGTGGGAGCCCTGACTTCAGTGCAGCTGGAGTTGTGCTTGGTCTTAATTGGAAGGGACATCTTTCTGAAAAACGGCTTTAGCTGGTTACAAAATACAGGAAGGTGTGTGTGGTTTGTATCTGATCAACAGTTATGTAAAAGAATAGTAGTAAGTTGCAAAGGCCAGGTGATGTTTTGTGCTCGTCTGATACTATTTGTTATTTTTGTACTCTTGGTTTGCCTTTTTTCATCGCATGGATTCACTTGCAATGTGCTGAGATCCTGCACGCCCATGGAAGATACTTGAGCTTTTGGGGAAACTGTTTTTCCTTAGTGTGCTGTTATTATAATATCTGTTTATACAACACAGTGTTCCAATTTCTGCTGGTATTGTTGTGCACCGTTTATTTCAAACCAAACCATGTAAGTGCAGTGGTTTGTTTCAGTCTCTTTGTGTTCCTCTATATTTACTTTTTAAGTTATTATTTCATTTTTTTCTACTTTGAATCTCTTTTTTTTTTTTTCCTGTGATGTTAGCTTTTTAATTTAGATGTAAACGGAGGAATAATATCAAAAAGTACAAAATAGAGGATTTTGAGTTTGCAGTGTGCTTGCAGTTAAGTTGTGGGGAAAACTGCGGAAGAAAACAATTTGATAGCCATAGAGTTATTAGTCAGAAAGCTTAAGAACAAGCATGGTACATTTGGAAATAACGTAATTATACTAAATATATCATGAGAAAAATCAGTCCTGGCAGAATAGGTTCAAATACAAAAGGGTTATTATAATTCTAATTGCTTCATGCAAGTCCAGGCAGATGTTGAAACTGGTATAATATGTGGTTTAATGATTAATGTCTAATGCCTTCATACGAAGGACTAAGTGTTTTAGGAGGTGTTAGACTTCAGATGCTAGATGCTTGGAAAAACTTAATTTCTCTACTTAATGCAATTCCCCTTAAAAGAGGGCTCTTCTCAACCACATCACTTTTTAACTTATTTTTACTTCAAGTGTATTAAGGATTTTTTTTCCTGTTACAACTGATAGATATGGATTTTGTCCCCCTATTAAATAACTAAAAATAACTTCCAACACTTTAAAAGGGTTTTTTTAGATAGTTGCAACTGTGTATGTGTTTTGGATTTCTGACTGCAACTTCACACTGATATCACTATGATATCACTAGCTTCCCCCCGCCCCCACCAACACTTTTCAGGGCGGAGAGATGCTTGGGATTCTTCTTCTGTATAAACTAGCGCAGTGTGATTGCTGCTGGCATTTGTCCCATATATGGCTGTAAAATGAGTAAGGCCGTTAGAGCCCTATAGTCCTGTTGCTAACGTGTAATTGTTTGTGACCAGTTCTGTTTCCTTAAATTTGTGCCACGGACAAAAGCTGTAGTCCTAGCAGAGCCTGTTTTATGCCAGAAGCGATGCTATTCTAGTGGTGGGCCGGAAGGAAAGTGCTGACTAGAAGCATTGGTGATTCTTTGAGAACAAACTTATTAAAAATGCTTAAATCAATTTTGTTTGAATATTTGTACAAGTTCATCTTTTGTCCCACAGAGCCAATGCCTTTCAGTTTTTAATCTATGCTTTGAAAACCTGAGCGATAATTTGTATTGTAAGCTGCTTACATCTCGTGTATAATTTTTGTCCTTCTTTTCTCAGATTGCTTTTTTTTTTTTTTTTCCCTGTTTTGGAAAGGAATTGTAACAGTGAGTAAAGGAGTATTTATGACAGTGGCATGAGATGTAAACCTGAAAGATAGGGGCATATATAGTTATGTATATAAAGGGTTCACATCATTGTATCATTTTTAAAATATACCTCTACTTTGTAAACAGGGGTGCAGTACTGCACCCTTCTTTATGAAGTGTTGAGTCATCTTCTGGCTGCCAGTGCCTGAGGTCAGTCCTGATACATCCATCTGGAATCAATACAAGTCTCTAAATACTTGGCTGAGACAAGTGGATAGAGAGATGCTTATTCCCACAACAGAATCAACTTTTGGAGAGTTCCACTTTTTCCATTTACATAAAAGCATGGAAGACTGAAGTGTAAAAATTGTTTCCATCACTTGCAGTTCAGAATAACTCTTCTGGAGTACTAGTGTGTTTTATTTTGTAGTAATAGTTGACAGAAGGAAGGATATGTTTCGTGGAATGTACAGACATCTGTTCAAGGTCTCTCTCTGTCCCAGAAAACTTAGCCTTGATAATGACAAGGTGCAGCAAGGAGTTGCGTTAAGAGACAGTGAAGGAACTGACAGCAAACACATCCACCTATTGTATAAGACCACAGCTGTTTTGTCTGGTGTGATTTCTGTTGCTCTGAGTGGGTAACTGAACAGATTGTGTCACTGTGTTCTTTACCATCTGTACTGTATTATACTTATTATTCTACTGTGTTATAGTTGCAATTATTTGTTATGAAGGAAACAGGAAAGCGTGTTAGAAACTGAGCCAGGGAAAGCTGTGGAGGTACTGATCTAGCGCATCTAGGTTAGGTTAGTAAAATAATGCTTTTCAGCTCAACAGCCGAGACGAATCATAATTTAAAAAAAATGAACCAACTCGTATTTCCA